CTGCAGCAAGCATGGTGCCCTATACTTCTGCAAAGCGTGCTAAATTGCAGCACTGTGCAATTCCACCCACCCAAAGCTCTAGGGGTCTCAGGAGTTGTCTCCCTGACAAAAAAGGAAAAAGATAAGCTCAAGAAGACACATCAGGCAAAAAAAGACTTTCTAAAGATTTCTGCAGTGGATTTCCCATAGAGGCGTATGTTCCAATACTAGATGTTTCCTTCTGATTAAGTGGTTTAGAGGCACAAAAATATATCCCGCAATATATTGCTGCCTTAGAATATCATTAGAACATGGCAGAAACTGCGTTTAAGAAAAGTTGAATTAATGAGGACACTTATCTAAAGCAACTTTGAGCCTTACAGTTGAAGATGTTCTGTCCTTAAGAAAAACATATCATGCTTGTATGAATCCATGTATTTTCCACTTCCCAGGAACACTGCCTTAAAAAAAAAAAAAATATTACCTGTAGTTTAATAAGCCATCAGGTATGCTGTGCTGCTCTTGGAGTGAGCAGGAAGTCTAAAACAAGAAGCTTTACTCTCTTTCCTCTGATTTCTTTCCCTTCCCATGCTACCCAGGCTTGCCTGACCTTCCAATTCCCTCTAAAACGATTCAACCTTTCCTTCTCTCTTAACCCACCTAGGTCAGTGCCACGTCCTCTGAATGTGACAGCTTCACTAATAGACATGAAGTCCATTTATTGTACCGTTTTCAACACACAGTTTGGTCATGCAGAAGAACAGAAATATTTGAACTGGAGGACCCACAAATTTTCAAACCTGAATGCAAATCAAGGTCTGGTCTTCAGGTCCTCCCTGTGCTTCTACATGGTGACAGCCAGTAGCTAGCAGCAAGCCCTCAAAACCCGAGTGTTCTGTTAGAAGAGACGCGGGCCTGTGAGAAGCGTGGCAAGCCCCCAGGGCGCGAGGGGGGACGGGTCTGCTGGGTACGGGACACATCCTGAATTTCCGCAGCCTGAAACAGCCGTGCTTCCAGCGGACACCTCTGCACAGCGCAGAGACTGCTTCGCTCTTCCCAGAGGACGTTTACAAACACGCAAAAATCGGGACTTTTCAATCAACAACGCTCACAGCAGCGAAGAGGGACTAGCTTCCCCGCGCCCCCAGCCCCCGGAGGGGAGCCCCCACCCAGCAGGCCGCCATCCCCGCCTCTCGGCCGCTCTGTCACCGCAGCCCACGCGCGACGTCTGACAGCCCCCAAGGAGCCGACCCCTACTTATTCGCCGCACCCTCAGCATCGCTCTGCGCGTAAGGAGGCGTCAGCAGGCAAGAGCCGGGGGATCCAGCCAGGGCTCTCCCAACGATCGCGCCCAGAGCCCCCCAAACGCCGCCGCCGAGGCACCTCCCCGCGGCTCCCGGGCCGGCGCCGCACGCCTAACGGTGAGGGGCCGCTTCGCCCGCGGGGAAGCCCGCTTGCCCACCCGCGGCCCGTCCCCCCGCCTCACCCACGGCCGCGCCCCTGGGCGGGGCGGGCGGCTCTGCACACGGCTCCTTGCTGCCGTACCGGGGCAGACGTAGCTTTGTGACGTCGCCGGGAACGGCGTCCTCCCCCGCCCCCGCGGGAGGCGGTGGCGCCAGGGGTCGGCGGCGCCAGGGGCCAGCCGCGTGCGCGCCCTGCCCGTCCCGTCCCCCCCCCCCCCCCCCCCCGGCATCTCCTCGGCGGCAGCGCGCATGCCCGGGCGGCCGGCGGCGGCGGGGAGGGGGAGGAGGCGGAGCCGGAGGGCGGGCACGGCTCCCTCCTCCTCCTCCTCCCCCTCCCCGCCTTCCTCCCTCCTGCGCCTTCCCGCCGCACGCCCCCCGCGCGCGGTGCGTCTCGCCTCGCGCCGCCGCCGCCGCTGCGGCCGCCGCTGCTGCGGGAACAAAGGAGAGAAGCGGCGGCGGCGCCGCCCGCTCCGCGCTCCGCGCGACTCCGCCTTCCGGTCCCCCCGCCGCCGCCCGGACCCACCCGCCGGGTCTTCTCCCACGCCCGCCGCGGGGTTTCTGGCCCCCGCCGGGGACAGGTAGGTGGGGGGCGGCGGGCTGGGGTGGGCTGGGCTCGGCTCCCCAGGGTCCTCACGGCGGCGGGGGTTGCCCGGGCCTCCCCGTGGGCGGCCTCGCCGCTTCTCTCGGCGGCCTCCTCCCGCCCGGCCCCTGGGCTCGGAGGGGAGGCCTCGGGCCGGGCCGGGCCGGTGCGAGGCAGCGCTGGCGGCGGGACAATAAGGTTTCCGTGGCTGGCGGCGGAAGGGCCGCGGGGTCCGGCAGCGGCGCGGGGCCTGGCGGCGGCCGGGCCGGGCGTGACTCAGGGGTTTGGGAGGGGCAGCCCGGCCCCGCCGCCCCGGCTGGGCACCCGCCCCCCGCCGCTGCTGCTCCTCAGACCCGCAGCCTCCGGGTCTTTTGTTTTCCGGTGTTCTCGGCGCGGGGGGGGGAGGGTGGGTTGGTGGCGGCAATTTAGACGTACCGCGCTGCGGGCGCTTGGCAGCGGCTCCCCTTTTGTCTGACTCAGCCAGCCGGGCTTCACTCTCCTCGGGAAGCGCCCGGTGTCGGTCCGCCTTTCTCCGCCCCGCTTCCGCCGTGCGCTCCGGGCGGCCTTGGTGAAACACCCCCCCACACACACACACACACGCACCTTTTGTTTTGTGCCTTTCTTCCTTAATTGTGGTCCCTCTCGGAGAGGAGCATGTTGAGGTGAGTATTTAGGTCAGCAAGCCCATCGCTGACTCAGTTCCCGGGTGTTATGGCTGGTTTTAGGGCACGTCGGGGCCTTTATTTCCGTCGTCGCGCTAAAACGTGGGCTCTCCCGGCGGGGCCTGCGGGAGGGAGCCGGGCTGTACCCGCCGCGGCTGGGGTGGCCCAGCCAGCGCCGCGGGGGGGGGTGGTGCGGTGGCTTCGGTGCGAGGCCGGGGTCGGTGACGGGCTTTTACGCTCTCCCCCCCCCCTCCCCGGGTCTCGATGGTAACGGCGAGGGCAGCGTGAATTCCTGCTGGAGTTCACACGCTGAATAAAAGGGATCTGTTTTGTGTCTGGCGGGCCCACGGCCACGCAGGAGCTCCCCGAGGCTAAGACCTGCCGGTTCTGTCGGTGACAGAACGAGACCCCTTTTTTTGTTCTCTTTTCGTGTTTTTTGTTCGTCCCTTCCCCCCGCCAAATAGGAATCGTTGGGTTTAACCACCGACCCCCACGGTTGCGGGGTGCGCTCCGGCCGCCCGCTGGGACCTAATCCCGCCCAGCCGTCCTCCGTGCGCGCTGCGGAAATGACTGTTTGGAGGTGACGGGCTGGTGATGCTGCATTTTTCTGGGTTGAATTTCAGCATCCGTACCCCCCCCCCCCCCCTTCCCCCTTCTTCTGGAAGGGGGGCAAGGGTGGCCGGGTTTCGCGAGGCGTGTGTCGAGCCGCCGGGGCTCGGTGGGCCGCGCCGGCGGCCGGGGGGGGGGTCCGGAGGGGGGGGGGAGCCGGCGGCGGCGGGAGCGGGGTCAGGCGGGGTGAGAGCACGGCGGCGGCGGGCAGCAACGCCGGGCTCCTGCTGGCGGCTTCGGAGAAACACGGGTGACACCCCCGGGTGACACCCCGGGCGCCTTCCGGAGCCTGGAAGAGCGCGACTTCTTAAGCGTGGGGTAGCAGCGGGCGTTTCGATCAGGACCGTGCGTTTCAAGTAGTGGAGGAACGTGCTGACAAAGGAGCTGGGGAGACTCTTGCTTTGTAGGAGGTTAATATCGGCATTAGAACCTAAAGCTAGGTTTAGTAAGTGGTGAAGCCTGTTCGCAGCACGCTGGTTTGGAAGTGGAGCAAGTCAGTTGAGATTGGTGGTGACTGTGTTTGATAGCACTTTAAGTTTAACTTCTTAACAAAAGGGCAGAAGTATAAGCTTTGTTTGTATTATATGGACACTGGCCTACAATAGAGACAACGAGATTTTATTAGATTTATCTGGGTGGGTCGTGGTTTCTCTCCCTTGACTGGTGTGTATGGCTGTAAAAGTGCATTAGAATAAGCGTGAAGCTGTTTTGTTGTCCTGAAAGGAAGTTAAAGCTGGAAGGTAACATAAAGGCATAAACAATGCAGTTACTTTAACATGGAAAATGAGGTTCTGCGCCCACCAGTAGGCAAACAGGTGATTTTTGCTTTATTACTTTCTCCTGCCCTTGGTTTGCTTTGATCTCAGAAACTTAGTTTAACTATAGACAAAGGCAGCTGTCAGCTGCAGTTGTCATACTAGTGGAACATAAGTTTCATACTTGCAGTGTGGGATTTCTGAATTAAGAAAATAAGACTAATACTACTTTCTTATATAGAAGTATTTCTCTCTCTATACATCTAAATGAAATCACTTATGGTGTTTTTGACTTCTCACAAACATCAGCAGTGAAATATCTCTTAGTGGGACTGTTCCTGAATAGGAAGACAGCAATCTGGAGAGTATACTAAAATGTCTCCAGGTGACATGTACAGTGCTTCTACTAAATTGAAATTTTGAGAGGACAAGTGCAGTATTCTTATGTGTCCTCAATTTGTAGCAGATTGCTTGATTACCGTGTTCCAATTTTATTGCCTCTGGGAATCGAGGATTTGGTTGCTGTTCAGTTTTTCTACTAACCTTGCTTTGCAGAGGTTAACCAGCAGTGAAGGTGAAGTATTTTTATTCCTAACTTGTGCAGTTCATGGCAGAGAGTTAGAATTGCCTGCTTTTTGGAGGCTCAGGAGTCTTGCCATAACTTTATTAAGACAAGGGGTTTAACTGGCTGCTGCTTTTTTTTTTTTTTTTTAATGTCTAGGCTGTGTAGTAGAACATACTCAACAGTTGAAAGTTGTTAATTTTATTTACCGGAGGAGTAAGACTCAGCCTAAACTTATTTCAGAAATGCTTTTTAAATTCTCAGTTGAAGGGCCCGTTGTACAAATGGTGTTGGCAGTTAGTACTCCTTTGTGGGTTTCGTACACAATTTAAGAAGTGTTCACAGCATTGTTTGGGAAGCTCCTTCTAGAGATAGGAATACAGACTTTAAATGGTTGCTGCCAATACTTCAGGGATTTTTATTGTTCTGTTTGATAAATGGGAGACTAAGAACTGCTAGTAGTGGAATTAGCATCAAAGTGATTCAAGATCAACATTACTGAAAAAGGGGGGCTCTTTTACTGGAGTTGGGGAAAAATAAGCTATGTTATATGCCAGAACTCTTTAGTAGATATGAACTTGGTCTTGCTTATTCTGCAAATCCTTGTTAGTGATCAGACGTTGGTAATAAAGGGCTTTTTTGGCTGTCAAATTTGGTCATAATCTGCATGTGCAGCTCGATGCCACACAAGTACATTATTTCTCAATATTACTGTGATGACGCTTTTTCTTCTCTTAAAGGTTCATAACGATGTTACTTAGCCATACAATTGCAGTATTGAATGGTATATTAACATGCATATAACCCTCTTTAAGAATGCTGATACCACTTTTGGGGGCAGTAGGGTAAGCAGACATACTTTAATTCCATAACCCTGTAATTGATTTTGGTGACATGCCAACTCCTAATGCAGTTCTTGGTTTTATTTACAGCATCGAGATGACTCAGGAGACAAACCAGACCCCAGGGCCCATGTTGTGTAGTACAGGATGTGGATTTTATGGAAATCCTAGGACAAATGGGATGTGTTCCGTTTGCTACAAAGAGCATCTTCAGCGACAGCAAAATAGTGGTAGAATCAGCCCAATGGGTAAGAGTGTGAGGGTTGTTTTGTTTGTCTGGGATTTTTTTCACTTCTTTTAAAAAATAGAAGATGACTAGGAATCCCAGAACACATTTTGAGAACTTCTGAATGCTGTGCACTAAAACAATAATTATCAAAGAGAATACTACTTTATATCACGGTAAAGATGAAATATAAAAATTCTGCCTAATGTGTTCTGGTCCTCTTGGCATAACTTGCTTTCCCACTTAGCCTTCTCTGTTACCATATTCCTTATACAATCTCTGTATTTTGGTTGTTAGTATATATAGCCTGTCTTTCAGTAAGAACTAATATGCAGTAGCAGTGAAGATTGTATGCAGGCAGTTCACAGCTGTATACAAGACTATTTGACTAATGTACTCTACAATTTCTTTATAACTAACCTGTCAAATTCTTGTTACATAGGAACAGCCAGTGGTTCAAACAGTCCTACCTCAGACCCTGCATCTGTACAGAGAGCAGACACTAGCTTAAACAACTGTGAAGGTGCTGCTGGCAGCACATCTGAAAAATCAAGGTAAGATGAAGGTATTACTTTGAGGTTTGAATGAGCTGTGAGTGTGCAGCAATTTGAAGGCTGCAGCGGTCCTGCCCTATCGCAGTGAGTTTCTGAAGAAGAAAAGGGGGGGGGGGGGGCAGTCTACCTGACAGTGCCTTATGAACCTGTGTAAATGAGAACTGATTAAAATATTTGGTGTTTGACTAATACATTTAAAAGGATGGGTTTGATCTATCTGGAAAAATACTTGCTACAGGTTTGCCTGTTTTCTTCTAGGGAAATTAAAATAGAGTAAAAAATATGTTTTGAAGATAGTAGAAGCAGAGGTCAGGAATGTGTAACAGTGGTAATTGAACAGGTAGTTTATTAATGGGACTGGACAGTTTAAGCTTTTATTATGAATGCAAAATAACATAAATTACGCTTTTCACTGTACATAAACAGAAACGTGCCTGTTGCCGCTTTGCCTGTAACGCAGCAAATGACAGAAATGAGCATTTCAAGAGAGGAAAAAGTAACACCGAAAACAGAGACTGAGCCAGGTATGTTTGCAGAGTAACACTGGGTACAGTTCCTGACTTAACAGAAGCTGATGGCTTGCTTACTTTCTAAGTAGTCATCTCCCATTGTGGTGATGGTCTTGAGGAACTGTTAAGATGATTGTCAAGGATGCTTTTTGAGTACTTTCTCATCAGAGTCAAGAAAATGGACTAATGCCACAATAGAGTTTTAAGATGCATGTTCAATGTTAGTAAAAAAATTGACACCTACAAGGGCGGTTTTGGCTCCCAAACTTTCGTTTTTAAAAGTAAGACACTCTAAAATGATGTTTGGGCAAGGTGCTCAGTTTTGGAGTAAAACAGTTGGTATTTCTATGTATTATCTAGCAGTACAATTCCTGCTGACTCATGGCAGTCAAAATGGCTTGTTGCATTTGGAGAATGGAGTTCCTAATAAATTCTATTCTACAGAGGAGTGAGATTTGGAGGAGAAGGGAATACCTGGTTTAAAAATACGGACAAAAGCTAATTCAGTAATCAGTAGATATCATCAAAGCATTGTTCTGCAGATGTAGGATACTTGCAGCCTTAATTGCTGGGTGTGAATTGTCAATTTAAAAGTTCTATTCTTGTACTGAAAGATTGTAGCTATAGTAGTTGAAGTGTAAACTATGTCTTGGAAGGAGGCAGGGGGGGCAGCTTTCTTGCCTACTATTAGTGATTGAATTCATATAAATTTGTTCAAATGTGTATCTTAACACACTTGTTCCATACTTGTACACATCCATGATTTTAAAAATTAATTTAGCAGTTCTGAAGCAGTCTTAAATCACTAGAAGCTGATGTTTAGTAGGAAGTCTGTTGAATCAAGCTAAAGATAAAATTTAATTTTTTCAGTTTTGAAGTCAGTGAGATGAAAATTGTAGCAGATAATACTCAGCACAGTATAGAAGTGATTTTTATCTAGATATATCTTTGCCAGCAAAGACTGCCCTAACACCTGATACTTAATTCTTCAGTATTTGTACAGAGGATTTTACCACTTGCAGTAAGTCATGCTAAATCAAGATTCTGTGACATGAGCTAAAGTGCAGCTCTACAGTATATTGGGGGTTTTGTTATGTACAGACTGGGAGATTTTTTGCAAGTATTAACTTCATGTAACTGATGTCATCTGAAGAGGCTTTCTGTAGGTAACTGAGAAGTAATTTAGACTTTGCTACACTATTTATAAACTCATCTTGCCCTGTTAGAAATTCCTGCCTAAAATGTAGCAAGCAGGAAAGAAAAATACAGAAAATGATAGCAGTGGTGAAGTAATAGGTGACTTTACTCTTACTAGAACTGCCAGCAGGAATTTATCATTTTGCCAGGTGTAAAGGACAATCTTCAGTTATTGTTGACATATTACCTGTTTCTCAGGTACTATAGGTCAGCTGTATGACAGGTAGTGTCACGCAGTGCTGAACTGATTAGAACAGGGGAAGAAATCCAGAAGTTGTTCAACGTACTTATGTATTATTGTAAATATTCTCACAGGTTGAAACTAGTAAAAGTTGTCACAAGCTTGTCTAGAGATCACTAGAAAAACTACCAGGGAACTTAAATGTGTCTGGAAAAATCTTGTGGATCAAAACTGCCTCCCTGACTACATACCTGAAAATTCTTGAGACAGCCTCAGCAGCTGTAATGCCCAAGTTCCTTTTCAAGTGTTATGGTTCGGCACAGACTGTACACATCATAGAATAGTGTCCTCACATACTATTGTTAGGGTTTGTTGGACATCTGAAATACACAGGTTGGGCTGCATTCAGTGGTATATTAATCTGTCTTGCAGGCAAGAGAAGCTGGCCTAGACTCTTGATAAAAGTCCCTTTCGTGTCTGGACTAGTTGCATTTTTCTTCTCTTTTTTCCAGCAGCATCCAATATCTGTTGGTCTCCTCTCGAGGAGAAACTGAAACAATGGTAAATAACTTTTATGGCCTCATAACAAAGCTAATACTTTCTGTGAGGTGTAATTCTGTAAGATAACGCCATAGTCATGGAGTTGCTAATGAAAACACAGCCTAGTTATAAGCACAGTCTGGCCCTAGCGACTGAATTTCATAACCATCTATTGGAGTAACAGATCGCGAACCGTGTGTAGCCTTCAAGCCAGGTAGTTTGCTCTTCTTTTAATGTCTTCAACAGTATGAAGTGAGATATTCTTCTGCCAGATTTTCCTGGGCAAATGAAACCTTGGATAATTCCCTTACGAGCCAGAAAGCTAAAAATAGAATTACATCTGGTCAACTATTTGGGTTGTTTTTTAGCAGTCTGTAGCATAAAAATATACTTGTTTGCTTTTGGAGTTGAAGCGACTGACTTGAGAAGATGGTGAAGTTGAGAACAATGAAGCTTAACAGGCTTATTTTCCTTGATTTTTTTTTTTTTTTGTTGTTTTTCTTTCTTCCCACAGTATGAGGTTGCAACCTGAATTCTCACATGGAACAAATCCAGTGCCAAGACTGGATTTTAGTTGTATTTTAAGATTTGAAGGAAGAAAGGCACGTTGGATGTAACTTGACCTAGTTGGTTGTAATTCACGTGTCTAATATGCTGAATTTTCTTGTAACTTCTAATAACTTTGTTCAACTTGTTTGCTGCAATTTTATAATTGAACAGTGTCATGTGTTCAGGGCAGTTGTGTGTCCGAACTGCTCATAAATCAGAGAAACCTAAAGTTCGTTACATCCAAACTGAAATTCTTAAGTGGGCACTACTTAACAAAATAGTTTGTATAGGATTTTGGTAAGTTTTTATGCTTAAGGATTCAGTTCTAGTACAGTCCTGACCTAAGACAGATTATACCCAAAGCATTCTAGAAATATGATTCATAGTTTCTTTTTTTGCCATGATGAGTTGCAGGAATTAAATACAAAACCTAGTGTCGTGGTTTAGGCCTGATGGGCAGCCAACCACAATGCAGCACCTCTCTCTCCCTTCCCCTCTGGCAATGAGAAGGGACAGAGAGCCAGGCTTGGGGTTCAAGATAGGACTGGGATGGGGGAAAATCCCCCTTTTATGATCATGAGCAAAAGGCAGACTCGTTAGGGGAAGAAAAAAAGAACATACATTTATTACAGACACTAACAACACATACCAGAGTAGGACAGTGAGAAGCATTGCCACATCTTGAGAACACCTTCCCCCCACCCCTCCCTTCTTCCCGGGCTCAGTTCTGCTCCCAATATCTCTACCTCCTCCCCCAGTGGCGCAGGGGCAGGGAATGGGGGGTGCAGTCAGTGCTGCCACTTCCTTCATCTTCGGTGAGGGGAGTGTCCAAAACTTGTTACCCCTGCTCCATCGTGGTCCCCCTCTCACAGGAGACAGTCCTCCACAAACTTTCTCTGACTTGAATTCCTCCCATGGGCCGCAGCGTTCCCCACACTGCTCCGTCATGGGTCACTAACTTCCTCTGACTGGATTCTCTCCCACGGCTGCAGCCCTTCCCGAGCTGCTCCGGCGTGGGACTCCCCCGCATGCTGCAATCCTCCCAGCACTGAATTACAGCAGCGGGGCTACCTTTTTTCCATGAGACCCCGGCCTTCTTCGGGCACAGAACCTTGATCAGCTGAGCAGGAACAACAGGCTGTAAATCAATGTCTGCTCCACCGTAGATCTTCATGGGTGGCAGGGGGGGCTGCCCTGCCGTCTCACCACAGGATACAGGGGGGTCTCTGCTCCAGCACACCTCCCCCCTCCTTTCTTCCTCCGTTCCTCCACTGACCTTGGTGTTCATGCAGCTGCAGCAACTCCTCCTCACAAGTCCCACTGCCCATCACAACGTCCCTTCTTAAATACGTTATCGCAGAGGCGCAGCCGATTGGCTCAATTTCCCAAACAGAAGTGGAGCTGACGTGGAGCTGGGGGAGCTTCGAGAAGCTTCTCACAGGGGGCCGCCCCGATAGCCCCCTCCCCTGCCACCAAAAAACTCCACCACTCACTCAACCCAGGACACCTAGCAAACTCCTTTCCTTTCCTTATGTTAAGCTATCAGAACAATGAATCTACCAAGGTGGTGAGGCATAGTGGGCCCTTCCTTAAACATGGTGGTTTGTTGTTGTTTTGTTTTGGTTTTTTTGTTTGTTTGTTTTCGTTTTTTTTAGGGGTATTCAAAGAGGGATAAAAGATCTGTACAAGAAAGATAATTGAGTTACAGTAACCACTGAAAATAAACTGTTTTGAAACCAAGTATGTTTAAACAACTGTATTGTTTCAAATTACAGCATATTTTTAGCATTTTCTTGTGCTTTTTTAGGTCATTACCTTGCTGAATGATGAGATTCCAGTCAGGTCTGTTAATGTTTCCAGGTGTTATTAGTATCAGCATGTGTATCAGAGGCTTGGGGATTTTTTTTTTTTAGTTTCCTGGGTTTTTTTTTAAACACAGTAATAGCTCTGTTTTAGGGACCAGTGTGATTAGCTATCATTTTGTGGAGCCACAGCTGCAAAGTAGCAATCCTTATAAAGAAAGTAAACCAGAAATTGACTGATTATGACATTGTATAAATTACATGTTATAACAGTATTTGGGTATTTTTTACTTACTGCAGAATTACAGCCATGTTGAAGCTTACCCTTCCTGTTCTGGAATTAACCAGCTTCAGAAGACTGCAGGCAATGGTGGTTGGCTCACTTTGTCTCTTGGATTTCTATGAAGCCAATATGATTAGTTATTTTACAGCTGTCCTGCATTCAAGTTGAGACCCTGTTATGTGGGTTAGCCACATTTATATTGTAGTTAGAACCGGTGTATTTTATCTGTGATGTGTACAGTGTGTTGCAAGTAATATTGTAAGATGCAGAGTAGACAGTAAGCTTGAGATTGTCGTGGTTTGATCCTGGTTGGCAGCCAAACACCACGCACCCATTCTCTCCCCCTTCTCTTCCAGCAATAAGAAGGGACAGAGAGCCAGGCTTGGGGTTTGAGATAGGACTGGGATGGGGAAAAAAATCCCCCCTTTATGGTCACAAGCAAAAGGCAGACACATTAGGGGAA